GAACACCGCTGTCTACGCAGCATTGCACGAATCTGGTGGGGTAGCCGGATTAGCAATGCTGAGGTTAGGGACAGAGTTTTGGGTAAATACAGTCGCCCACTGGAGCAAGTTATCGACCTCCATAGATTACGTTGGTTGGGACATGTGCTACGCATGTCACCATGTAGGTTACCACGGCGAGCGATGTTTGCCGAAGAAGGTACAGAGTGGAAAAAAGCCAAGGGTGGTCAACTTAAGACCTGGCACGAGGGTATGAAAACCCTAACCAGGAAACTGGGTCACATAGGTCCTGTTAGGCTNTAACCGATGGTTAGAGACAGCGATATGACTGGGTGTCGTAAACAGTGGCGTTCGTGCATCTCCTCAATTTCTTCCCAACCTTAATCCACTGAACTTCTCCATTTTCCTTTCGAATCCACTTTCAACTTTCCTTTCTTCTCCTATTCTTCATCCCCATGGGCAGCCAAAAGACAGCAACTAAAACCGGCGCACGAAAGTGCATGGTTAATGGTTGTTCAAACTGAAACTGAAACTGTTACAGTTCTCCAGATCCTAGCGTCGTCCGCAAATAGCAGTGTATTAGGCCCAAGGACATGTGGCAGGTTGTTTATAAATGCAAGAAAGAGACGAGACCCCAGTACGGATCCTTGGGGAACCCCTCGGGTAGCTTTGATAGGCTCTCATAATGAATCACCCAAACGAACTGACATGGTCCTTTGTCGGAGAAACTCCTTGATCCAGTCCAGAACCAAACCTCTTTCCCCGTAGTTGTAGAGTTTTCGCAGTAGAACTTGGTGGTTTACTCGATCAAATGCTTTGGAGAAGTACAAATAAATTATATCCAATGGCTGGCCTGCATCGACGGATTTTGTCCACTCGTCTCGTGCAATAATTAGATTTGTGGGGCACGAACCCTTGTGCCGAAATCCTTGACGAGTTGGAAACAAAACCTCATGCTACTCCAGATACTCCATCGACATTTTTGCCACAATAGCTTCCATGGCTTCCGACAATTTCGGAAGAAGTGTAACAGGGATGTGGTTGGCGGGATCACTGCGGGAGGCCCCCTTTGTAAATGGGGGAACTATCCCTTCCTTCCATGACCGCGGAAATACTGCCTTGTTGACCCGCTTCATTCTATAACTGTCTACGTTAACCAGCCTTCGAATTTCGTCCGTAGGTATGAAAGAATAGCTGTTTCACTGTACAACAAAATCCCAAGTTTAACATTTCCCGCTTCTTTTATGACATTTTATCTAACAGGCTGATGATGAATTTCGTGTTGTCAATACCACTCGGTTGAAACTAACTGCCAGGTGAGTTCTTTTACTGAATTCCATGCTTTTGACAACACTATTGGTGTGTGTATGTGCCTTTGAAAAAGATGCTAGCGGTACTAGCTAGATTTAACTTGAATATTTCGGAACCGACATGAGATGATACTATTTATATANTAACCTAATTGCGGCTGCAGAGGAGAGCGATCTGGAGATCAAACAGTTGCTGCGGATTAAGATAATCACTTCCCTAAATACGTGTGTTAGTGTGAATCGTTTTTGCGATCGGTTGCTACATCCTTGCTATTTATCTAATTGAAACTGCCCAAATAGCACACTCCAATTGATATCCTCAGGTTATATGACTGAACGTTATGAACAGTGGCATTCAGTTCTCATCTTTTCATAATTGAACTTTTTCCTATCCTGAGTTCTGATTAACAAATTCTTTGACTATATACCCTCCCACTTAGATTCGAAACTACCATTTCATATAGTCAGGTGTAAATTGAAGTTCTTTTTGTCTCGGTTACTTGTACAGGTTCGAGCAATGGGCGACGTATGAGTTAATTATCCAAGTGAAACACATCAAAGAAATGCGTGAAGTGATGAATACTTTTGTACCTCTGATAACCTCTCCGTCTGAACAAAGACAGGAGCAACAACAACAAAAACAGCAGCAGCAGCTTGAAAAACAGCAGACAGAAACGCAACAACAACCCAAGACCCAAGTCAAAATGAGTAACGAAAGTGAATCAGTCCCTCAATCTTGCATGCTGCTTGAACATACGTTTTCCAATCCCACAAACGGTGGCACTGTGGCTTGTTTTCTTGAGTTGATGATGTTTGAGCAGGTAAGTACTTAATACTCGTTATACATCCCGTGTCTCCCATTGTTTCCTTAATGATTGAAGTAGTCCAGTGGCTTGCGGTACTGACCCTATGAATACCGGTACCGTAGACCATATCGAATTAAAAACCGCTGTTGCCTTTCAACAAAACAGCACATTTATTAATTTTTGATTTCGTATTTCACTGTAGTTTTCCATTGTTAATCTTATCCTACTGCATTAGATTATTTACAGACTCCCGGAATCATTGATTTCGTGTCCTGTGTCACACACACACACACACACACCTCACGGTTGTGTTAAGGTATTAATGAGGAATTTTTTCACATGCCGATTCCGAGTACGTGTCACCTCAAAGTGCACACTTGCACCTGACCTACTTCGCTATGATCCTCCTTAGTTTCGTCTTGGACTTTTTGAGGTTAAATGAGCCCTATCTGCAACAATGAGTCACCATTGATCCTACCACTCTTATAATGGCATTGCTAGCAGTAGTATATGTTCATAATATATGGATGATCTCTTAATACCAATCCTACTTCTGTTGAGAAAATTTCTAACACGGCTTTCTCTCGTAGAAAATGCGTGCTTTCACGGCTAACTGAGTTACCAGTGCTCTGAATGGTGTCACCCAATAGTTTTTGTTTCTATCTAACCTATCAGTCCTAAAATCCTTATTATCACTAGCACATCGTGTCATAGCTATAACGAATTGTGACTTCGGTTTGCAGTACTCAGCTAAGTAAATACTTTACAGCAATTGTGTTTTTCGGGGGTAGAACTGACGAAGGCAAACCCCATCTGTTTATCCCACCGCATAGAAAAAGCATCAGATTTTGATTTTACTGACCAGTGGGTGCAACCGCTTTTCGTCGAACTGGTTATTTGGAGAGTACGGTTCATAATGATTATACAGTTAGATGCGACATCGATATAATAAACATTCGGCTTTTTGGATGACACACCTGTAATTTCGAGGCGCTTAAGTTATCATCGGTGTGCTTTGAGCCCTAGGGCCCGTGGTTCGAACTACTCCACCACCACCTACCTTTGACAGCTTCGCTGTCGTTCGGCTGAATGCCACGCTCACTCTAGAGGGCCCTATGTGATTCGCCACTTCAAGTATCTGGTCTTACGTTGCCGCTTGCCATGATTGACCAACAGGTCTTTGTGACCGTGGATTTGACTCTGGTTACTGTTCATTACACGAGACTGTTTACAAAAGATAACTGTGCATTGCAAGGCAGTATTTTTCTGAAGCATAGTAACTGGTGACCTTTCAGCCGCTCCTTTGGCAGTTGGTTGAGGATGCAATCCATGATTCCACACAACCCTTTTAGTCTGAGTTTTCCTCTATATCCGTTACATCAAACATTAGACGTCATCTACCCACCTTGGGAGTATTACCGTTCGAATGCCGTACGGCCAATCATTTTAGGTCTCGGCCACTCAGAGTGACGGAGTCGGCGCATCAAACGGTTTGTTGAGGTACGACTATCGCGGGGTGTTTCAGGCTTTTGGAGCCACATGTGAAGCGCTCAAAGAGATACGACTGCCCACCAACCGCTAGTTTTTTCTCCCATGTGTTGATTCTGTTACAGCATTATTGAAGTGTAACCAAAGGGAAACTGCTGAACGCTAAACACAGATGTTATTGTGCATACACCTGTTCTGGTTACTTTGAAAGACGGCGGTTTTCCTGTTTCACTGGAACCATTGAGCTTAATTCAGTGAACTTAATAAATGAGTAGACGAGGACATAAGAATCACAGACCAGATGTTTATCGTCAATTCTAGTGAGCAGCTGATCGCTTTGGGTTTAAACCATCCTAACAACACATCTCGTGTATCGCATAACTATTTAACGACGCACTGATTCCCGCCCGATTCATGGCATCCTGTTTCTTAGAACCCGCGTACTACTCTGATTTAACCCCCAATTCCCCGATTTCTGTTCAGCGTAGATCAGTTCTGTCCATCCGTACTTTACTTTTTGATCAGTTCTCTCACCAATACGAGCTGTTTTTATTTGTCTTTGTCCAACAAATTTCTTTTCATGTTCTTAGGTTGTCGATCTGAAAATGTGCATAAATTTGTCGGATATCACATTCTTGGGTGACAGGTGGTTCGACTCCGGTAAGCATTCTTATTGAACTTTGATTTATTATTATTATTTTGTTATTATATATTATTATTATTATATTTTTGTTTCATCGACAGGTTTTTCATGCTCTCAGGGACTGTTCAGTTTCTATCTTTGACGTTTTTATTTCAACCTGGTCATACTTCCAACATGCATGTGTTCCTTCCTCTCTGTACGTTACAATTGCACTCTTCCTTGCAGTCCTCTGTTCATTCGATTTCACATACCCATGTCAATAATTTTTTTTTACCCCCACTCACTCATCCGCCCTAAGTAGGCTTGCTGTTTTCATTTTTTTTGTCCTTTCAGAGATCTTACTCCGATGATTCTCCAGACATTTTGCTTCTCCGCTGTAAATGTTTCTTTCCAGAAGTGCATCATTTTCAATTGTCTGAGTCTTCAGTATTTCGAATTTTGTTTTCTCAGCTGTGGACTCGTACTACGAGAAGCACTCCAAATCACGGTCCGGGGAGATCGATCAGTCCGGTACAACTGGCCGCGATTTGATTGCCCCACGAAACGAGCTTGGGACGCGACTTGTCAACCGGTCGTTCCTGTCACAATTACATAAGTCTCCCGCATGTATTGCCGATACAGATTTTTGGATTGAATCCGGTTTCAACAGGCGTGCGCGCTGGTTCGATCATCGAATGTCGTTTGCTGGTGGCCAGATGATCGCCATCCAATGGACTCAGTCAGAGAAAGTGATCCAACCAGAGTTTTCACTGAAAGCCTGGTACGAGCAGATGTTGACTGAAGTCGACAGTGTGATCAACCGGGTAGCAAAAATTGCCCCTCGACCGATTGGAGATTTTTACACAGACGAACAACCTAGGGCCGAGCGTGATCGCATATCCGCACCGATTGTTGCCAAACCAACAGTTGTTGTCGATGACATCAAATCAGCACTTGAACGATACATTACTCACGGTCGAGTCGTAGGTCGTACGTCTAAAGAGATAAAAGTGAGTAACTGCAAAGACTCTTCTGCTTTCTTTTGTACTCATAGATTCCACAAAACATGAATGCCATCGCATTGATTTACCGGTTATATAATCAAAATACCTATAGCACATTCTTCATTTTGTCAGCTATATCGGAACAATGAAGGCGGCGAAACAAGGTAACCGTACAGGAACTGTACATAGTGATCTCGACTTATACGGTGAAATAATTCCAATTTGGAATTTGTACAATTTAAGTTATAGTTTATCCCTTCATATTTATCTGTTCGTTAATAACCATCGTCAGCAAGTTAACACGAGCTGTTCGGCTTGTATCAGCGATATTTGAACATCATTCCGGGTGATTGCTAACAATCGCCCAGATGCATCATCGTTAAGAGGCCGCAATCCGTTCTATCCACGAGACTTGTCCGATACTATAGTAGCCTCAGCCAATACATACAAGTGAAGATCACAGTAGTGACCCTATTTTGCAACCCTTCAATTTCGATTACCACCACACTGATAGTTTGAGTCTTCCCTCTGCTCCCATTCTACATGCCTCCTGAAATTTCACTTTGGCTGGCAATATTTTCGAGAACAATTGCACTACACTGTCATTCCTCGACACACACACACACACACACATATATATATATATAATGCTCCTTGTNTTTGATGTTTTCGTTCGTCGTGGCTAAGACAAGGTAATTTCCTCAATATGTAATGCTCCGTTCTTGACTATCTCATTATTTAAAGTCACGGTACCTGTTCACTAGGTCTTGAAACCGTTATTCGTGATTTCGTGGAACTATCTTATTGTACTGCATTAGCAATTGGATTTTGTTTGCTGACACCATGTTTGTACACTTCCTATGGAATTCGTTAAAAGATACAGCACGTGAATTTTTCTGTGGTGGATTCGATACCGAAGTGACTCGAAAAAGTCCTAAACATCAAAGACAGACCAATCGATTATTGGTGTACACATACTTTACATCCTAATTATTATCAATGTTAATTTGTTGTAAATCGAAACTGTTCCATTTTCTTTAGTTACCTCTTAACTCATCATGGTCTAGGTCAACCACTAATAACGAAATGGGGGTATCCACTACATTCTGAACCATTCCACCTGCTGAGTATAAACAAATCAGGAAAATACGGCTATAAAGACTCACCAAGAATTGTTTACTATTATTTGGAAAAAAGTTACTTCAGTATAAAGGCTGTTGCCTATACGAACCGACAAGTGTTTCACAGGGACCCGTTGCTTCAGTTTCGAATAGACCTGTATTAATGAATTTTTATAGCTATATGACCGATATAATTCGAAATGCTTCCTAACTAATCTGTATGCTCTTCTTGTTTTCAGACGAAATTTGCGGATGATTCAGTCACCGTGAAAACACTGAGAGACCTGTTATCGGAAGAAAAGGTGCGTTTCTGAAGCCAGCGTGACTGATCCACCATTCTATCGTCTCGGTAGAGTAAACGATTGAGTCTTATCATGCACTCATCCAAGGGCAGTCAGTGTGACACAATTGATCACCAGGGAATTTGAAGCTATGAAGTGGTTTTTACGCTAATACTATTGGGGCAGAATTAGGGCTTGCTTGTCCAAAGTTAAATGACTAGTTCTGGCTGATTGAGGATGGTAATTAAGTAGGACTCGTTTACCATCAGTATGGCTCGGGAGTTACCTGGAGTTTATACCCCTACCGTAGAAGAGATTGATGAAATTTTGTCTTAGGCACAAACCAATCTACCATTTCTCTGTCTAACTTGGTGTTTTGCAATATTAGCACCTGGATCAACGAGTCATCCTCGTGTTGTGTAGGAAAAAGCTGTCACCTTAACCAACTTGCATGCTCTTGGTGAGATGGGATTTAAACCAGCCGAGCTCCCAGACTGTCCATATTGCACATCGGGTACGGGGACGGGGGTCTACCAAAAGTAGCTGATTCGTACTCTCGGTTTGAATTCAATTCATCGCTCACGGTTAACCATGACTTTCATTTCCGGAAATATCCATCCACAATAGTCTGTAATATTCCAACGGAAATCATTACTTACAAGAGGACTGTGCCAAATAACCAAACCTCGCTAAGTTTGTTTGCATTCTATCATGCTTACTGGTAGTCATGGATGAAATCTTTCGTACTAAATTGCAAGAATGCTTTTCTTAGTTTGTTTGGCCAGTTGGTAAGCGGAAACTAGACAGTCTGTGGTAGACGTCATTCGGGATATATAGTCGNGAGTGAGGGGGGGGGGGAAGGACGTATAGAAGCATTTCTTTAATGCACCGAATGACTCGGAAAAGTACCATCTCCTATGATCAGTCGGGTTCCGCATTGACACTCATGCGACATAGAAACAAGATGCAGTTATTTTTTCATTCTGATTTTTTTTTACTTTCATGCCAGATGTTCACAAACTGATTGATCTCTTCTATCTATCTATCTCTCTCTCTCTCCAATCAATATTGTTCTGTTTACTATCTTGGTATTTCTGAGTTCGTCGGTTTTATCTCCAGCGAATTCATTTCCAATTGGTTTTCAGTTGAGCTGTTTTTGTTTGCACGAATGTACTACTTTAGGAACTAATTTTGATGCATTCATACAAATCCATTCCCGATTTTCTATCCTTTTTACTTGCCCCCCCCCCTCCTCCTTGTCCATTTACCGAACCTGTTGGGGACAGATAATGTTTCTTATAAGCTCTCATGCCAATTATTAATCTATGTTGAACCAAAAGTGTTCGCGTTCATACCGGTTTCTCTAGACTGCCCCTGGTTTCACATCTGGTCACGTTCGAGGTGGACACTGGTTTTAGGTGCTGAAATACACGGTGTTTGGCCCATAGTTGGGTGAATGATTGTGACTATCGGTGTTCATTCTCAGTCGAAGAGCTTTGCAATGGATCTGAGTAATCATAGAGAAGGAATACGAAATAACTCTGCAAATATGCTCCACATCTTCCAGTTTATCAATTGTCAGTCTTATATGGTTCACTCGGTCGTCCGTTCCACCAACAAGTTGAAAAAAAACGCATTCGGATGCCAGACAGTTAAGCAGCATTTACCTGTGGTAAATTCCAACGACCAGTCTATTAAGTTGTATTGAATTTTCGGCATTTTGTGGTGAAATACAGTTCTATCTTAGGGATATGATGAATTCCGTAATGAACGGAACTCGTCCACATAATGCCATTGTGCCCTTCTTATGCACGGGATGAACTCGATCAGTTTCCAAACACCTAATAACCAGAAACAACAGTGGTTGTAGCATTGGAAGTAGTTCATCTTCACACCCTATAGTCCCAGCCTCTTAGTGCTATCTGATCTGAACAATTAGTTGTTTAGTTGGTTCAATAGTTCGTTGATCAAACTATCATCAAATGTCTTATAGACGGCGATGGTCAAATAGCAGAGGTCATTTCTAGTTTGCTCCAAAGATCATGTGTTCTAATCCCGTGGTCACCATCTTTCCCAGAAGCCTCCCCCCGGTTGATCATTTTCCTCTGCTGTCTATTGGCGATAACATCTGTTGTTTTTTCTGATGAAAGCAAAATTATTATTATACCTCTTGCTGCGAATATTTCGACCGACGCTGAGTTGTAGTGATATTTATTTGCCACTGGCAAAGTGATGTAGTAGGATTCTTATTAACAGATAGTCGATCACCCCCAATACTGTTTCATTCTAACACATTAGGATTTTATGGTTCACAATAACTCAGAAATTACGACGCGCCTGAGAATTAACGTTTTTATTTGACTATGTGGATAGAGATGAGGATAACTACAAAGTTCGTCGATGAACTATGTGCGTATGGCTGGGGTCGTAAAAATTACACAGGAAAAAAACACTTATTACATAGTTGAGAAAGCGAAGCCCCGATAGGTTAGAGTGTAAAATCGAATCAACTGGGGAAGGTGGGAATGACTAATTCGGTAGGACAGAGTGAGAGGGGGCATCGGAGCGATCGAAACGTTTATGTACACCATACGCCGGTATTGGCTTGTAGCGTGTTCGGTACTTAGCTGTCACATAGCTGTTACATTGCGTTGGATTTGTCTTCGTGTGATGTCACAATGTGCGAACCCAGAGCTCCAATGTCTAGTGCTGATCGGTTTGCTCTCTCTCTCTCTCTCTCTCTCTCTCTCTCTCTCTCTTTCCACTTGTCTCACCATATGGCACTCGATCAAATTAGATAGAATTCCGGAGAACGTGTAAACCGTGTGCGAACATTCCGCACCTGTGGAACGAACAACTATGATTTGGAACAGGTGTTCAAGTCACTGGGTTTTAACAATTTTTTTTCTTTCTTGTGAAATTCAAATTTCGAAGCATCATTCATGAGAACCGCGTCTCTCACATGGCTGTTACATTGCACATGGAGCTTTCTTAAGGGAACAGCTTGGTGAATTGAGGAAAACAGAAAACTTATCACAACCTGTTTATGGGACTGATGGTTTTGAGATATTTGACCTTCGGGTTATTGATGGTGATTAAGCTGCAGAAGTTATTCTTGCTGGTGTGTTCCAAATAAAAGACCGAATTCTGTACGCTGTGAATCCAGTATGTTGCTAAGCCGGTTGACTGTCACTTACTTTGATAAAACGTCTACCTTGCTATACCCCACAATTCGCCATTCGAAGTCTGTGAGCTCAGGTCATAATGATCCAGGGGGTCCCATTCTAGGGTTTATCATGCATACAGGTGTGCATTCAAGATCCCTTGACAGACACTCGTTTCATCACTTCGTGTCCTGAATCAGGTGTTTTGGCTCGGAAGTACCGTCTCACGGTTTGTTCACAAGCGATATGTTCGCCTTTGGATGATCCACGTGAAGCCCGATTTTAAATTCCACTCTCAATTGAACGATACGAGCGAAGATGATCCCACCAAGGCCAACAGTATTACTGGGACAGCTTCCTCTGTAATTCCAGATGCGTCCGAATGTGCAGAGCCAACCGCCAAACGTCCCAGGTGAGAACCATAATCATGTGTTTTCGTAACAAATACATCAATATGAAACTGCTTTTGGGCCAATTAATGCTACATACACTCGTCCAATATCGAAAAAGGTGAATATATAAGCTAAGCATATCCTAGTGAGCTCAAATGAGTTCTGACTGCTACACGAGTTGTTTGCTCATG